GTTCTGAACGTTTTGGCACAGGTTATTCAACATAGCTTTTATTTCGACCATATCTGCTCCTTGACCAACCAATCTATCTGACGTCCTTTTAGTACCAGCTTCTAAATAGTTCCAAGTAAAATTTTTTACTTTTGAGTGCAATTTTGGCAACTCGATTGCTAGGAAATAAAACATGGTTTTATTACGGTATTGAGTCGACGGTGAGTCACTAATAAAGTGAAGCGTATCAACGGGTAAGAGTTTGTTATGCACTTTATTATTGGGTCTAAATGCGCCCAAATTGTTGCTGTACCTCATCTTGTTTGGTATATACAACAACAGTATGTAGAGATATCTGGTTTCTTGATCCTCCGAAGTGGAATGCCCAAAATGTTGTAGTTATCACTAAAATCCATGTGAACCGCCTCGGTAATTCGAAGATTCTCTTTAAGTTCTTTGAGTTGTTTGTACTGATGTAAGGATCTGCCTTTGTACTTCAGAAATTGTATAATACTTTGTTTAAAATCAGCTATAATATCAGAAACCTGGCATTCAACTTTCTTCTTTGATGTCTTTCTAACCTGCTTTTCTTTTTGTGATGTCTTGTCAACATACGTGCATTTTTCTGCCATCCATTTGAAGTAGTAACTGCGTTCCCTAGGGTTGTATTCACGGAATGATATTTGCATAGAAATACATTTATCGCATCTCTAGAACTGGTCATTCCTCTGTGCCTGTCATCAGTCCTCTGGATCTCAGTAATCCAGAGGAATGGTGCCAGAGGAATGACGACTTCTTCGTTTATTAGTTTTTAGTTTAGGAAATTGAATGAATCCTAACCTACAAATTGGTCCACGGAAAGGAAACTCATTATTTCGTATTTAAATGAGGGAATGGATGCAACAAAAATATAAATAAATTAAATACACTTACCAGAGGAATGGTCAATCTGTGTGTGACATTAACAATTTGGGAACAAAACGTTAAAAAGAAGACGTATTGTTTTAGTTCGACAACATTTGCTTACTGACACTCTGCAAGAACTAGGTTAGGAAAAGCATATCTGGTTGCGTGCGAAGACATATCGCCATCTACCATCATATTATTTACGTACTTCTTGCGAGCCAGAGGAATGACCGCTAAAGGTGGTAACATAGTTTCTATCATCTTTTTGAGGGGAGTTTTAAAGTGAAACATATTTTTAGACTAGCTTTACTGAAAGTTCAGGTTTGCTTAATCAAAATGTAAAATTACAAATGAAGAAAGTTAATAGATTTTTGTCTAATATGTACATAATGTTAGACGTCTCCAGTTATAACATGCCAGAGGAATGATATTTTGACATGATTTTTTACTATAATTTAATAATAATAATAAGTATGATTTCATTAACTCTTTAAGAACTCAATATAGCTGGTCTATACTTTTCTAGAAACAATACGATATTTGTAGAAAGTAATTTTTTAGTCGAAATTGTTACCGGTAACAGCAAATATGATAGTTTCTATAGAAATACCGATGTATCATTCCAGCAAAACTGGTCCACAGTAGGCGAAGTCTATTACTTTCGTGCTAGTTCAGCAATATGAGTGCTTATAGTACCTTTGTATAGTGTCATGTGGGAGCAGTTTTGGGCATATGATGGCTAAATGCAAATGCAAAGGAGATAAGTCAAGCAAAACATCCATTGCTAGAGTTGGCGTTGTGCTTATCGCACCAGAGATTGCTAATCGAGCTACTCGTTGAATTCGTGAAAGTTTACTGATAACTTGGACTTCAATCATAGGATTAACTATAGTCACATAAAGTCTTTGCGAGACAAATCCACAAGAATAATCTAGCTTTGTATAAAACTCCTTGCTTGAAAAAAAAATTAATCATGAATCTTACTCTATTTTTCTTTTAATATACCACCCCTATTGATTTAAATCCAAAATAGTTCAAATTGACAGGATAAAAAGTGAGGTTATATTTTCTTTACTTACAAATTTAAGAATAATTTCACCAAGAACTTAAAATCACTTTAAACGAATAGTGTGTGTCGAAAAACGTATTTTGACAATTTGTTTTGATGCAATAACACTTTTTAATTATAAAAATTCACTATTTTAGGAAGAAATGTAAGCGAAGATAATCGACAAGATGTAAACTGTCAAAGATGATATTCAATATAGGTTAATATGGTTGCCGCTAGATGGAGTGAGTAACAAACACATAAAAAAATTAATTATTAATTTTGATTCTAAATGAAACTCATAAATGAAAACTGTAGACTCTAAAAAAATCGACTTACTGTGTTTTTCTTTTAATAAATCACCCCATATTTATTTAAATCCGCAAATTGTTAAAATTGATGGGATAAAAAGTGAGGTTATATTTTCTTGACTTATAAATTTTAGGAGAATAATTTCTACCATGAACTTAAATCATGTTCAATAAACAATATGTGTCCAAAAATGTACTTTGATGAGTTGATTTGATTCAATAACACGTTTTTAATTGTAAAATTTCACTATTTTAGAAAGAATTACAAGCGAAGATTGTAAACTGTCAAAAATATTATTAATTTAGCTTGGTATGGTTGCCGCTAGATGGGGTGAGCAACAAAGATATAAAAAAATTGAGAAAAACAAATTAATTATTGATCTTGTTTCCAAACATAACTCATAAACAGACACTTTATAGTTAGAAAAAATCGACTTACTGCGTTTTCGTTTTAACAAATTAAAATTGACGGGATAAAAAGTTAGGTTATATTTTCTTTACTTACAAATTTGAGAATAATTTCTACCAAGAACTCAAAATCACTTTAAATGTATAGTATGTGTGTCCAAAAATGTATTTTGATGGGTTGATTTGATTCAGTAATACTTTTTCTTATTAAAAATTCACTATATTAGGAAGAAATACGAACGGTGATTTTAAACTGTCAAAGATACTATTTAATATAGGTGGTTGCCGCTAGATGGGGTGAGTAATGTGTCATAAAGAAGAAATTTATAAAATTAAAAAAAAATATTTATCAATTTGAAGCTATAGAATATCTAGCGATTAATAATAATTAAAACTAGAACTAACACTAGACCTAGAACTAGAAAAATTCGGGTTTAGCCGTGCGTCTGAAGACGTTTTAGTTCAATAACAACATACAATCTAGCACGATCTAGTGCTTACTAACACTACTTAACACTGTTACTAGAACTAACCCGTTACTAAACCCGAAACATTCTAGTTTTATGTCTACTGTTAGTTCTAGTTTTCCACTAACGCTGTTACTATGTACAACTAATACTATACCTAGAACTAGAATCATTTGGGTTTAGCCGCACGTCTTTAAAGACGGCTAAACCCGAATGATTCTAGTTCTAGGTATAGTGTTAGTTCTAATTTTACACTAGCACTGTTACTATATACAACTAATACTATACCTAGAATTAGAACCATTTGGGTTTAGCCGCACGTCTTTAAAGACGGCTAAACCCGAATGATTCTAGTTCCAGGTATAGTGTTAGTTCTAGTTTTACACTTGCACTGTCACTAGAACTAACATTAGAACTAGACCTAGAATCATTTGGGTTTAGCCGCACGTCTTTAAAGATATACTATATAGTGACAGTGTTAGTTCTATATAATAACAGTTTTAGTATAAAACTAGAACTAACACTAAACCTAAAACTAGAAACATTTTAGTTCTAGTGACAGTGCAAGTGTAAAAGTAGAACTAACACTATACCTAGAACTAGAATCATTCGGGTTTAGCCGTCTTTAAAGACGTGCGGCTAAACCCAAATGATTCTAGTTCTAGGTATAGTGTGAGTTGTACAGGGTGGTTCAAATTCGATGTCCGAATAGGCTATCTCGGAAACTATAAGTGTTAGAAAAAAAGTAGCTTACATGTCATGATCTCGTTTTTCGAGAAAGTGCCAATGCCAAAAACCTCAAAGTGCTATCGTCTTTTGTTTTTCCCCTAGAGACCAAAATTGAAAATATCGTAAAATCAGCAAGTGCAATTATCTTGGTTATTATTATAGGTGGAGTATTATAACTAAGACATTATATGGACATTTTTTTACAGAGAATTTGATGACGTAGTCAAAAAAAATTTTTCGGTGTTAGATTTTGAGATATTATGACAATTTTGATTATTTTAAATTGAAACAACCACTGATTATTCGCTTATTAAATTCGTTATTTTTTTCTGATTATAAAAATATAGGGTTTGACAGGTCTATTTCTTATTGTTTTAGAATAAAGCTAAAAATAAANATTAATTCCTTGAGTACTAACATCGTTTTCCTGACAAATCTGCTCTATATTACTCTGTCTAGGTATGAATTGTGTAATTAAGGATTGTCTAAAAATTGGCTTATTCTTTTTGTTCATATCTCCTTTCCCATTTTCTGCATCTGCATTCCCAGCTTTTTGATGATTATCTTGTGGGGTTGTGTTATTTGTTGTGACTTCCAGTCTTTGTATATTATTTAGTATCGTAAACCATGAGTTATTGATCAAGTGCTTGGGATAAAAATTATTTAACAAAATATCATAAATTTTTTGTTTTATTTCTTTCAAAAAGGGTTTATCTGTCAATTTTATCGCTCTATTATATTATTTTTATAATAAAATATACCAAAGCCTCCATAAACTAAAAATTATAGTTTATTTTTAACTTTATTCCAAAACAATAAGAAATAGACCTGTCAAACCCTACATTTTTGTAATTAGAAAAAAATAACGAATTTAATAAGTATAATATTATATGATTATATATAATATCTCAAAAACTAAAACCGAAACATTTTTTTTCTGGCTGTGTCATCAAATTCTCTGTAAAAAAGTGTCCATAGGAAAACTAGAATTTTGGTAACTCACGATAAGATGGTGATTTTATTTCAAGGTCACAAAACGTTCTTTCTGTGCCCAGACGTGGTATCAGGATTACTGGATTACTTAATAAAGATTATTAGATGGAGACCCGATTTCGTATTAAACTTTTTCATCTAAAATTAAAAACAAACTCGATTATTTTAGAATTTTATTATAGATTTTGAAATCTACAATAAACATATTTTTTCAAATTTTATTACAGCACCCAAATCCACATTTCAAAATACACCTACAGACTCAAACAAAATTGATCATCTAATTCACATTTATTTATTTTTTCTTATTTTTTTTTTTTTCATTTTCAGTCCAATTCTTTTTCAGACTCCTACTTGAAATGTTATTTTTTCTAATATTTATCATCTAAAAAATGAATTGATTTTACTTTAAACAAATATTCGAGAATATTTCGATTTATAAATTAATTTAAGAATAGAAAACGTCATAAACCGGCCGTGGAAGATGATCGGAGATAAAAGCTTGTAGTTTTTCTTTTTTGGTAACCGGAGTGTATTTCTCTAGTGGAAATGTTCGGGTGATCGAATCCGACAATGCTTTTAAAACCGCTGCTAAATCTCCGTCCTAAAAACAGTTTTATTATAATTTGTAATTTAAAATAACCCAAAAAAGAAATTAGGAGTATTTTTTTACCTGTACTTTACAATATTTTTCCAAGCTCCTAACAGCAGTTTCAAAATATTGCTCGCCATATTCTTTTCTAGCCTCTCTCCCCAATCTCGCCCACATTTCTTTCGCCTCCTCTAAAAGATCTTCTTCCGTCAACCAAGAAGCACAAGCTGTAAACTCTCCAGGTGCAACAACAACAACATCAACCCCTCTAGATCTCATTTCTTGCCTCAAACACATCGCTTGTGCTTCAACAGCGGCGAATAAAGCACAATGAAGTCCACGAACCGGCGAAGTAATCCTACATAACCCAGAAGATAAAAACACCAACCTCCCTTTAGCTCTTCGTAGAAGCGGAGCCATCACTTGGGTGACTCTTGTAGCCCCGACCAAATTAACTTCGGTTGCTTTTTTCACCGCATCATAAGGTATCCATTCGATTTCACCCATTGCAAAATAATTGGCGGCGTGGATGACGGCCCAAAGTCCGGGGGCGTCATCTGGAAGATGTTCAACGATGTACAAAGAAGCTGCGAGAATTTGGGTTTCAGAGGAAACGTCGAGTTGCAAGACGTGAAGTCGTCCGCTCGATTCTTCTTTAAGATCGTCGGCGTATTGGTTATCTTCGACGTTTTGAAACCCGGCGAAAACCGTAAATCCTAATTCATCTAGATATCTAGCCAGAGCGTAACCCATCCTTGAATCACATCCTGTTATTAAAACTGCTTTGCCCACCACGGAGATCTAAAATAATAATCTTCATTAATAAAAAAAATGTTTAAAAATAGATTTTTCAAACAATGCTTGTTTACGTTTTGGCTACGGCACAGACAAATAAAAATAGTTACACCCGGTCATTAACTCCTTTTGTTTTGAACACCATTTCCTGGTCCAAACTTTCAATTTTCTACGGGCGATAAATAATACAACATTTAAAGCTGGCATTGTTGTTAGCCAATTTATGAACTTTAAAATGTGTTTCAAAAAAGATTTATTAATTAAACCCGATTAAAATATAGATGATTCGTAGCCAAAAAGACTTGGTAACTAATTATTTTACTGAAATCCAAGGCGAAATTATACGGTTCTCAATCCGACTTTGGCAAGAAGTATTACATTTAAGCTGCGTGTATTTTTGGTGTAGGTAGAGTTAAAATCTGGCAAACGAAATGGAACGGCGTATGCGAATGTGCGATATTCAAAACGTTTCTATCAACGAGACCCAAAAAGAATTATTGTGGACCGCACAATGTTACAAAAACATATAAAAACCATTTTGCGTTTTTGATAAATACGCTTTGTGAGATGCCAAATGAATTTTATATGTAACAATAGCCATTTTATGCATGGTTAGATTTTTTTTGGAACTGGTTTTTGTTGACTGCGATAAAGTTATTTTGGAGAAATGAATTTAAAATATATCTATGTGCAAGTAAACATCCTAAATATAACATTGTTATTATTCGATTTAATAGATCATTTTAATAGTAAACGTCAACTGTCATTTTTGACATATCAAATGTCATTTTTGATAGATTAATGTAAGCATGGTTAATTTGGCATTACTCGTTAATTATTATTATTTGATGCAATAAATAATATTGGTAATTAAACGTCAACTGTCATTTTTTACAGGCCAAATGTCATTTTCGGCACTTGGACATAATCTTGATGTGCAAATACCATAAACTTAACATTACCCGTTAGCTGTTATTATTTGATCAAATAAATAATTTTAATATTTAAACGTCAACTGTCATTTTTGACAAATCAAATGTCATTTTTGATAGGTTTAATCTTAACGTGTAAGCGTCGTTAATTTGGAATTACTCGTTAACTAGTATTATTTGATGCAATAAATAATATTGGTAATTAAACGTCAACTGTAATTTTTGACAGGCCAAATGTCATTTTCGGCACTTGGACATAATCTTGATGTGCAAATACCATAAACTTAACATTACCCGTTAGCTGTTATTATTTGATCAAATAAATAATTTTAATATTTAAACGTCAACTGTCATTTTTGACAGGCCAAATGTCATTTTGATAGTTAGGCATAATCTTAACGTGTAAACATCATTAATTTGACATTACACGGTAACTATTATTATTAGTTGCAATAAACAATATTGATATTTAAACGTCAACTATCATTTTGACAAGTTAACTGTCATTTTTGATAAGTGAAATGTCATTTTTGATAGTTAGGCATAATCTTAACGTGTAAACATCATTAACTTGATGGTGACTGATGTAATTAATAATATTGATATTTAAACGTCAACTGTCATATTTGACAAGTCAACTGTCATTTTTGACAGGCCAAATGTCATTTTTGATAGATATAATCCTAACGTGTAAACATCATTAACTTAACATTACATGGTAACTAATGCAATTAATAATATTAATATTTAAACGTCAACTGTCATATTTGACAAGTCAACTGTCATTTTTGATAAGTGAAATGTCATTTTTGATAGTTAGGCATAATCTTAACGTATAAGCATCGTTAATTTGACATTATTCGTTAGCTATTATTATTTGATGCAATTAATAATATTGATAATTAAACGTCAACTATCATTTTTGACAGGCCAAATGTCATTTTCGGTAATTGGATATAATCTGAATGTGCAAACATCATAAACTTAACATTACCCGTTAGCTATTATTATTATTTGATCAAATAAAAAATTTTAATATTTAAACGTCAACTGTCATTTTTGATAAGTCAAATGTCATTAATGACAAGTCAAATGTCATTTTTGATAGGCATAATCTTAACATGTGAACATCATTAAATTAACATTATACGATAAGTATTATTATTAGTTGCAATAAATAATATTGATATTTAAACGTCAACTGTCATTTTTGACAGGCCAAATGTCATTTTTGGTAATTGGATATAATCTTAATGTGCAAACATCATAAACTTAACATTACCCGTTAGCTATTATTATTTGATCAAATAAAAAATTTTTATATTTAAACGTCAACTGTCATTTTTGATAACTCAAATGTCATTAATGATAAGTGAAACGTCATTTTTGATAATTAGGCATAATCTTAACATGTGAACATCATTAAATTGACATTATACGATAAGTATTATTATTAGTTGCAATAAATAATATTGATATTTAAATATCAACTGTCATTTTTGACAGGTCAAATGTCATTTTTGATAGTTAGACATAATCTTACCGTGTAAACATCATTAACTTGACATTATATGGTAACTGATATAATTAATAACATTGATGTTTAAACGCTAACTGTCATATTTGACAAGTCAACTGTCATTTTTGACAAGCCAAATGTCATTTTTGATAGAAATAATCCTAACGTGTAAACATCATTAACTTGACATTACATGATAACCGATGCAATTAATAATATTGATATTTAAACGTCAACTGTCATATTTGACAAGTCAACTGTCATTTTTGATAAGTGAAATGTTATTTTTGACAGTTAGGCATAATCTTAACGTGTAAACATCATTAACTTGACATTACACGATAACTATTATTATTAGTTACAAAAAATAATATTGATAATTAAACGTCAACTGTCATTTTTGACAGGCCAAATGCCATTTTCGGTAATTGGACATAATCTTGATGTGTAAACATCATTAACTTGACATTACACGACAACTATCATTATTTCTTGCAATAAATAATTTTGAAATTTAAACGTCAACTGTCATTTTTGATATTCCAAATGTCACTTTCGGCAATTGGACATAATCTTGATGTGTAAACATCATTAACTTGACATTACACGATATCTGTCATTATTTGTTGCAATAAATAATATTGAAATTTAAACGTCAATTGTCATTTTTGACACTCCAAATGTCATTTTCGGCAATTAGACATAATCTTGATGCGTAAACATCATTAATTTGACATTATTACACGGTAACTATTATCATTTGATGCAATAAATAATATTGATATTTAAACGTCAACTGTCATTTTTGATAAGTCAAATGTCATTTTTGATAATTAAGCATAATCTTAACGTGTAAACATCATTAACTTGAAATTACACGATAACTATCATTATTTGTTGCAAGAAATAATATTGAAATTTAAACGTCAAATGTCATTTTTGACATTCCAAATGTCATTTTCGGCAATTGGACATAATCTTGCTGTGTAAACAGCATTAGCATGACATTACACGATAACCATTATTATTTGACGCAATAAATAATATTGACATTTAAACGTCAACTGTCATTTTTGACCGAGCAAATGTCATTTTCGATATTTAGACATAATGTTATCGTGTAAACATCGTAAACATTTTTGAAATCGTAAACAAAATTAAAAATGCCTTCAAATGAATCTAAACGAACAATTTTAACCCAAATAAAAACAAGATGGAGGTTATGTCTTTGGTGATTTTAACCTAACTTTTTTTGTTTTTATCGCAAATAGGGCGTGTTTGGTATCAAATTAAAGGGTTTTTAACTTAGAATACAAATTTAATATTATCATGATTAAAAATGCAAAATTTTATTTTACAATTTTTTTTCAAAATGTTTATTTTGTTCGAATCGTAAAGAACATTAAAAATGCTTCAAAATGAGTCTAATCTCGACGGGGTTATCTTTAAAAACGATCGAGATACAAAAATTTTTAACAAAATAAAAAAAACAAGATGGCGGTTATATCTTTGTTGATTTTAACCTAACTTTTTTTGTTTTTATCGCAAATAGGGCGTGTTTGGTATCAAATTAAAGGGTTTTTAACTTAGAATACGAATTTAATATTATCATCATTAAAAATGCAAAGTTTTATTTTATAATTTTTTCTCAAAAACTTTATATTGCTCGAATCGTAAAGAGGATTAAAAATGCTTTAAAATGACTCTAAACTCGAGGGGGTTATCTTTAAAAACGATCGAGATACAATGATTTTATAAAAAAAAAAAAACAAGATGGCGGTTATATCATTGTTGATTTTAACCTAACTTTTTTTTGTTTTTATCGCAAGTAGGGCGTGTTTGGTATCAAATTAAAGGGTTTTTAACTTAGAATACGAATTTAATATTATCATAATTAAAAATGCAAAGTTTTATTTTATAATTTTTTCTCAAAATCTTTATATTGCTTGAATCGTAAAGAGGATTAAAAATGCTTTAAAATGACTCTAAGCTTGACGGGGTTATCTTTAAAAACGATCGAGATACAAAGAAATATATTAAAACAAAAAAAAACAAAATGGCGGTTATATCATTGTTGATTTTAATCTAACTTTTTTTGTGTTTGTTGCACATAGGGCGTGTTTGGTATCAAATTAAAGGGTTTTTCATTTAGAATCCGAATTTAATATTATCATCATTAAAAATTTTATTTAATATTTATTTTTATNTTGAGGGGGTTATCTTTAAAAACGATCGAGATACAATGATTTTATAAAAAAAAAAAAACAAGATGGCGGTTATATCATTGTTGATTTTAACCTAACTTTTTTTTACTTTATCGCAAATAGGTCGTGTTTGGTATCAAATTAAAAGGTTTTTAACATAGAATACGAATTTAATATTATCATAATTAAAAATGCAAAGTCTTATTTTATAATTTTTTCTCAAAATCTTTATATTGCTCGAATCGTAAAGAGGATTAAAAATGCTTTAAAATGACTCTAAACTTGATAGGGTTATCTTTAAAAACGATCGAGATACAAAGAATTTTAACAATATAAAAAAAACAAGATGGTGGTTATATCATTGTTGATTTTAACCTAACTTTTTTTTGTTTTTATCGCAAGTAGGGCGTGTTTGGTATCAAATTAAAGGGTTTTTAACATAGAATACGAATTTAATATTATCATCATTAAAAATGCAAAGTTTTATTTTATAATTTTTTCTCAAAATCATTATATTGCTCGAATCGTAAAGAGGATTAAAAATACTTTAAAATGACTCTAAACTCGAGAGGGTTATCTTTAAAAGCGATCGAGATACAAAGAATTTTAACAAAATAAAAAAAACAAGATGGCGGTTATATCATTGTTGATTTTAACCTAACTTTTTTTTAATTTATCGCAAATAGGTCGTGTTTGGTATCAAATTAAAGGGTTTTTAACTTAGAATACTAATTTAATATTATCATCATTAAAAATCAAAGTTTTATTTTATAACTTTTTCTCAAAATCTTTATATTGCTCGAATCGTAAAGAGGATTAAAAATGCTTTAAAATGACTCTAAACTCGATAGGGTTATCTTTAAAAACGATCGAGATACAAAGAATTATATTAAAACAAAAAAAAACAAAATGGCGGTTATATCATTGTTGATTTTAATCTAACTTTTTTGTGTTTATTGCAAATAGGGCGTGTTTGGTATCAAATTAAAGGGTTTTTCATTTAGAATCCGAATTTAATATTATCATCATTAAAAATTTTATTTAATATTTATTTTTATCTTTAAAAACGATATTTAAATTTGAATTAAAGAAATTGATTGAGAATTCAATCAAATTACAATGACATTTTAGTTTTTATAAATACTTTTTGAAACGGATTAAAACTATGCGGATTTTAACAATAAAATTTTTATAGAGCAAAATAAATTTGTGTTGGAACGGATTCTGTTGAGTGTGCTCTTTTATTTCAAAGCGAATGGAAAAAAAATTTTAAACAATGTGTATCGAGATTTTATAGTCATTTTTTGTTTGGCGAAAATATGCAGTTTTGTAGAGTTTACAGTTTCGGTGGTATGTAGGTAGGTCGAGACTGGGAAATGATACCGAAATAACCACCGATCTCTGTGAAAATTTGCAGCGACCGGCGCTGTTTAAATATAGACCGAAAACGCTTTTTTTTTTAACGATTCCATATCAATTTCACACAAAAAAGTTTAATCCACACGCATAAAAAGTAGTAGTACATTTTTTTCTTACCTTTATATTATGGTAAAAAAGTATCAACGCTATCGTTATAATCGCAAATAAGATAAACAATGTTAGGGCTGATACTTGAGAAATATCCAGAAAATTAAAAACGGTACTCAAAATAAAAGCGGCCGCCTGACAATAAACGATCGGCATAAAACATCGATCCACCACATCCCATGGTAATTCTTGTTGCGGGGGAGTTGGTATTTGACCAATACCAAGACTCGATCTTCGTCTTAGCGATGCCGATTTAATTATTGGACCGGCTGGAAGTGTTTTCAACGAGGGTCTTCGTTTAAACGGTCCACTCATTGCACCTTGATAAAAAGAAAACCTTTTTTTCTTTAGGTTTAGATCTCTTTTCACTACTTTTTTATTCTTTGGGCTTTTTTTTGGGTAAAACGATTTCGCACCGGCGGTCGGTGTGAGATTGAAACGGTCCCAACAGCAGAACACACTGTAAAGCCGGCTGCACGAGCTATTTTCGATCGCTAGGAAGTGGTCCCGATTTACGTTTGATAAATTTAAGGAGTTGCCTGGAGAAATTGTACGCGAATAGTTGATTACAACTAGGTATTTAGGTGTTAAAAAAAATTTAGAGCGGTCTACACTCAATTTTCTTTTTGTCAGAAATTTTCTCCTGATTTATCTCCTCTTTGATTTTTAATTACACCAAATTATCCTAGCGTGACGCCGGGAATGTTATAAATAACAAGAAAAAATGTTTTTGCACGCAGTTATATGGTCGATTTTTACCGAACCGATAACCCAAATTAAAACGTTATTAAAACAAAGGGGTCTCCTTTGTTCTTTTCGGTAAAACAACAAATATTTTTAATATAATTAATATAATTTCGATTTTTCATCAACATTGTAAAAGTTATTTCAATTTTAATAAATAAATCTCTTTTTAATCAAAAAAAAACATTATGTTGTTTTCTGACGACCTTAGCCTGTGTTCGATGCTCGAGAATACTAAATATAACCCTATCAAGTGTAACATTTATTTCTGAAACGAGACGGCGTATTTTAACTTCACCCGTTTAGTAATAGAATTGTTAGATAACCAACAAAAAAACGCAATTTCAACGAGAGCCAATAAATGTGTTGTTTTTGAAATTCTTCCCAAAACAAAACGTTCGTTATTAGTTAGTTCTACTTTTAGTTCAATAAAAATATGCAACAATCTAGCACTTAATAACAACTAAAACTAGAACTATTACTATGTAGAACTAACACTATACCCAGAACTAGAATCATTTGGGCTTAGCCGTAAGTCTCTTAAGATAGTTAAACCCGAATGATTCTAGTTCTACTACATAATCTAATATATGCAGTTTTCTAATACGTTAGAAAATATTAACCTGATGATACTTCCACAAAAACGAAACGTCGGAGAAAATTTGCAAGAAAAAGTTGCCTTAAGAATGGTTTTTCAGATTCACGAAAAAACGAAAAATAAAGAATTTATAGGCAAAAAACGAAAGTCATTTTTTTTGTTTTCGGCCATATTTTAAAAACTAAACCGGCTAGATCCAAAAACATAGTTGAAAGCTCTAAGATACTCAACTTTGCCCCTATTTAACTATTTCTGTATCTCTTATGGTTTCCGAGATTCCAATGGTGGAGGTCGAATTTGAACTACCCTGTATAGAACTAACGCTATACCTGGAACTAGAATCATTTGGGTTTAGCCGCACGTCTCTAAAGACGGCTAAACCCGAATGATTCTAGTTCTAGGTGTAGTGTTAGTTCTAGTTTTACACTTGCACTGTCACTATTACACCTAGAACTAGAAACGAGAAAATTTTTTTAAATCTTAACGTTTTCGAACGTATCCTAATTCAACATAATTCTTTTTAAAGTCTTTTCCTGCAGAAATTTTTATTATTAACTCAACAATTTTTATATGATAATGAAAACAACATCTTTTATCTTCCATTTGTGATATAAATCGTTTCTTAACTCCAATATAAGTAAAGTAAATGAAACTGTCTTAAATTTTCACATTTTCGAACGTATCCTAATTCAACTTAACGCCTTTTAAAGTACTTTTTTTACAAATTTTTATCATTAACACGGCAATTTTTATATCATACCTTAAAATATCGTCTATTATCTTCAATTTGTGATATAAGTCGTTTCTTAATTCCAATAAATAAAGTCAATAGGGTTTTTTAAATTTTGACGTTTTCGAACGTATCCTAATTCAACTTAATTCCTTTTAAACTCTTTTTCTATAAAAATTCTTATCATTAACTCAACAATTTTTATATGATATTGAAAACAGCATCTTTTATCTTCAATTTATCATATAAATCATTTCTTAACTCCAATAAATAAAGTCAACGAGATTTTTTATAATTTTGACGTTTTCGAACGTATCCTAATTCAACTTAATTCCTTTTAAACTCTTTTCTATAAAAATTCTTATCATTAACTCAACAATTTTTATATGATATTGAAAACAGCATCTTTTATCTTCAATTTATCATATAAATCGTTTCTTAACTCTAATAAATAATGGAATGAGATTTTCTTAAATTTTGACGTTTTCCAACATAACCTAATTTAGCTGACTTCCTTTTAATCCTTTTCTATAAAATTTTTATTATTAACTTAACAATTTCTATATGATATTGAAAATAGCATTTTTTATTTTCAATTTGTGATATAAATCGTTTCTTAATTTCAATAAATTAACCTAATAAGATTTTTTTTGAATTTTGACGTTTTCGAACGTATCCTAATTCAATTTAATTTCTTTTAAAGAACTTTTTTACAAATTTTTATCATTAACACGGCAATTTTTATATCATACCATAAAATATCGTCTTTTATCTTCAATTTGTGATATAAATCGTTTTTTAACTCAAATAAATAAAGTCAATGAGATTTTTTATAATTTTGACGTTTTCGAACGTATCCTAATTCAACTTAATTCCATTTAAACTATTTTTCTATAAAAAATTTTTATTATTAACTCAACCATTTTTATATGATATTGAAAATAGCATCTTTTATATTCAATTTGTAATATAAATCGTTTCTTAACTCCAATAAATTAACTCAATGAGATTTTTTTTAATTTTGACGTTTTCGAACGTATCCTAATTCAACTTAATTCCTTTTAAACTTTTTTTCTATAAAAATTTTTATTATTAACTCAACAATGTTTATATGATATTGAAAATAGCATCGTTTATATTCAATTTGTAATATAAATCGTTGCTTAACTCTAATAAATAATGGCATGAGATTTTCTTAAATTTTGACGTTTTCGAACATAACCTAATTCAACTCAATTCCTTTTAGTCTTTTTCTATAAAAATTTTTGTTATTAACATAACAATTTCTATATGATATTGAAAATAGCATCTTTTATTTTCAATTTTTGATATAAATCGTTTCTTAATTCCAATAAATAAAGTCAATAAGGATTTTTAAATTTTGACGTTTTCGAATGTATCCTAATTCAACTTAATTCCTTTAAAAGAACTTTTTTTACAAACTTTTATCATTAACACGGCAATTTTTATATCATACCTTAAAATATCGTCTTTTATCTTCAATTTGTGATATAAATCGTTTCTTAACTCTAATAAATTATCTCGATGAGATTTTTTGTAATTTTGACGTTTTCGAACGTATCCTAATTCAACTTAACTCCTTTTAAACTCTTTTTCTATAAAATTTTTTATTATTAACTCGACAATTTTTGTATGATATTGAAAACAGCATCGTTTATCTTCAATTTGTAATATAAATCGCTTCTTAACTCTAATAAATAATGGAATAAGATTTTCTTAAATTTTGACGTTTTCGAACATAACCTAATTCAACTGAATTCCATTTAGTCGTTTTCTATAAAAATTATTATTATTAACTTAACAATTTTTATATGACATTGAAAATAGCATCTTTTATTATCAATTTGTGATATAAATCCTTTCTTAACTTCAATAAATTAACTCAATTTTCGATTTTTTTTAATTTTGACGTTTTCGAACGTACCCTAATTCAAGTTAATTCCTATTAAAGAACTTTTTTTACAATCTTTTATCATTAACACGACAATTTTTATATCATACCTTAAAATATCGTCTTTTATCTTCAATTTGTGATATAAATCGTTTCTTAACACTAATAAATTAACTCGATGAGATTTTTTTTAATTTTGACGTTTTCGAACGTATCCTAATTCAACTTAACTCCTTTTAACGTCTTTTTCTATAAAAATTCTTATTATTAACTCAACAATTTTTATATGATATTGAAAATAGCATCTTTTATATTCAATTTGTAATATAAATCGTTTCTTAACTCTAATAAATATTGGAATGAGATTTTCTTAAATTTTGACGTTTTCCAATATAACCTAATTTAGCTTAATTCCTTTCAGTCTTTTTCTATACAATTTTTTATTATTAACTTAACAATTTCTATATGGTATTGAAAATAGCATCTTTTATTATCAATTTGTGATATAAATCGTTTCTTAACTTCAATAAATTAACTCAATGAGATTTTTTTTAATTTTGACGTTTTCGAACGTATCCTAATTCAACTTAATTCCTTTTAAACTTTTTTTCTATAAAAATTTTTATTATTAACTCAACAATGTTTATATGATATTGAAAATAGCATCGTTTATATTCAATTTGTAATATAAATCGTTGCTTAACTCTAATAAATAATGGCATGAGATTTTCTTAAATTTTGACGTTTTCGAACATAACCTAATTCAACTCAATTCCTTTCAGTCTTTTTCTATAAAATTTTTTGTTATTAACATAACAATTTCTATATGATATTGAAAATAGCATCTTTTATTTTCAATTTGTGATATAAATCGTTTCTTAACTTCAATAAATTAACTCAAGGAGATTTTTTAATTTTGACGTTTTCGAACGTATCCTAATTCAACTTAATTCCTTTTAAAGAACTTTTTTTACAAATTTTTATCATTAACACGGCAATTTTTATATCATACCATAAAATATCGTCTTTTATCTTCAATTTGTGATATAAATCGTTTCTTAAGTCTAATAAATTAACTCGATGAGATTTTTTGCAATTTTGACGTTTTCGAACGTATCCTAATTCAACTTAACTCCTTTTAAACTCTTTTTCTATAAAATTTTTTATTATTAACTCAACAATTTTTGTATGATATTGAAAACAGCATCGTTTATCTTCAATTTGTAATATAAATCGTTTCTTAACTCTAATAAATAATGGAATAAGATTTTCTTAAATTTTGACGTTTTCGAACATAACCTAATTCAACTCAATTCCATTTAGTCCAAGGTTTATAGAACATAAGGTTACCTCATTCCCTATGCCTCTGTAGTAACGATTATTACCCCGCAGATTGCCGTCACTGGTTCGATACAGTCAAAATAAAAGATAGCCTATACGTGCCTATACTGTGGTACAGTCTATATAAAATATTTAAACCTCGCATCCTATTGTGTTGTTCA